CTGAGCACTGAATCAAGTTGTGTTCAGTGAGAACGATATGCTGAAAATCATAACACACTGCATCTTTCCTATTCAGACATACACTATGTTAAAAGATAACTTATTACAGATACATCTGCCAAAGCTAATTTTTTACTGCTTACAGTGTAGCCATTAGACAGCTAAAAGGTTATAAAACTTACTCAGGCTTTTTAAGCAGACCCCATTTAATATCGGGGGGGGGGACACAAACAAAACCAAACAACAAAAAATCTCCAACAAACCAACAGACAAGATTCTGGGTGTAAGAATTATTTTCTTAAAGGCATTTAAAAGACATCACCACTCCTTAAAAACTCTTCCTCCCCAACACCCTTATCAGCATTTTTGTATCAGAGCTGCAATGATGTATTGTAAAATGCGATCTATGAAACTGGGAAACATGATTAGGCTGCCATATGCAGGGAAGTTGTTTATACAGTCCTGCGCTGAACACACCCAGGAATAACTGCAGGGAAAATTCACGTAACACATAGCCTCATCAGGTGGTTTTGGAAGATTAAGCAAGGAAAGTTTAGCTTTCTCACCCTAATAAATCTTTGGAATCGGCGTAAAACATCTTGACCCTTTCCTGTTTAGTGTGGAAAATGAGGGGAACATTTTATTCATGAAAGAAATTTCAATCAATTTGAACTCAATACAGTTTTACTCTACCTACCAAGTATATTAACAGTCTTTGCAAAAATTACTTTAGTTTTTCTGTATCTCTCTGGATGAGATACTCCCACTTCTACTCGGGAAAACTGGGCACAGAGGTTTACTGATTGCAACACGCACTTCATTCTTGACCCTGAAGACAGGCTCTACAAATCAGTGTTCAGCAATATGCGTTATTATTGACCTTGCAGAAATCTCTGAAAGGGCAAGCACAGGCAAGATGAGGAATTTGAACCCATCTGAACAGCAGGTAAATTCAGTGATTTTACTTCGCTGCCCTGTAAATCAGTAATTTTAAAGATCCTGTCTTATTTTGACCACTAAAACGCTCCATATTTGCCACTCTTCCATGTTTCACAAAATTTAGAGTGTTCTAATGTGTTACGTTACGATTATTTCACACTATTATTTCCACTATTCATTAAATGTTTGAAGGAAGTTATTTTTTATGTCCTTTGAAGCTGTTATTTTAAGCCAAGTTGACAGTGTTCATAATATTTCAAACATGCTGACACATCATTCTACTAATGTGCACTGTAAATGCATCTGTACATGAACCTTAAAGAAAAAAAACATGCACTGACAAAATAACATATGTGAGAAAATAACACAGATTAATGACAAAATGAAAAAAATCCTCTGAGGTAGGAGATTATAATGGATCATGATCACGCTGAGGAAGTTTGGAGAAAAGCAAGGCAGAGCCGGAATGCATTTGGCTAACTTCCTTGTTAGCAAGTTACCAATATCAGTGTCATGAAGACAAAAAAAAGTCTTCCTCCTAAAGTTCCAGAAGTGTCTTTACTCTCACTACCTAACAGCTGGGAGATTTGGAACTGCACCAAAAAAACAGTGGAAGCATAAAACTGAATGAAACACTCATGGCGTGCATTACTAGTCAGGAATAAAGATGGGAATTGATCACATACCAAAAAACACTCCCTAGGCTTTTTAAAAAAAGAATACACTAAGGTGGCTTTAAGTGGCTCGCAAAAAGCGGCTAACTCATGACACTAAGAGCACTGCACCAGCTACTAGGAAGAAGAAAAATAACTGTTACAGCTGCATCCAGGACACTAACTTACACCAAACAGCTACTTTGACTTCACCAGTGATGGTAAGACATGGAATAGAAAAGATTTTGTTTCTCTCTATTATATATTTCTTTTTTTATTCTTAGCAACATAGATATATTAAAGCAATTATTGAATAACTCCATTCTGGACAAAGTTTTACTCTATGGAGCAGCAAATACAGGTTGGGTAGTTTTTTAATTCGTTTGCCCTCTGATAGACACATCAGTAGGATTCCTGTAGGTAGGTGTGACTAGCAAATTATGCGTGTAGCAGAGAATAATCAACCATTAGAAACTATGGCTACAGTGGAAAGGATTATTTCTGTGAGCTTCTGTCCCCTTCTGTAAAGGGAGTGTCTTTGTGAACACCCAGACAAAGTATGGCTTCCTATCAGTACTGCAGCAGTGTGCCCAGTTTGCTTTAGGAAAAGCCATTAGGAGACCCTCCTTCCTATTGACATAGCCACTTCTGCCATTCATACTGCTGACTTCATGACTCTCCTTCTGTGGGAAAGCTGGGACTTTATAGTTCCGCTGAAACAAAGAGAAACTTTCTCTCTCTCAAATGGGCTCTGCATTTGACAGGAGTTTCTACTCCTGTCAAAAATTCACAAGACACTAGCATAACAAGCACAAGCAACAGTACACATGTGAACAGGCAAAAGAGGCCTTTATCGGACCAGCTCTGGTGTGACAGTACAATCAAGTAAGGTACAGTTAAACACCTTCCTGAATACCTCCTCCTTCATGATGAATATATGCCAAGTGCATAATCTAAAATAATGCTGCCAGAATCATTCCTAACTGATCAAGCATAAGAAATTATGGCAACTATTTTCTGCTTTCAAACGCTAGTGATTTTTGTTATGTACTCAATACAGCCTTCTCAAGTTAAACACAAATGATGTCTTAATTTTGACTTAAAACAGATCTGTACTGTATTACAGCAAAATCTGTGTATACAATTCTCCACTTGTTCAAACAAAGTCAAATTGTATTTGCTGGATGAGAATTAAAAAATACCTCTTCAAAAATCAGAAATTGTTATTTCTACTGTGTATTTCTTCAAGCAACTTAACCCTCACATCTTTATTCTCCACTGCTTCAACCAATGCCCTGTGTTCACAACCCCAAAACTGCATCACTTCATCATGACTTAACATTTTCTTGTCTACCTTTGCAAATACCTCTGCACCCTGTCAGGCCAGTAAGTGCTTTCATCATTCCAGTCCAGGATTTTATCCCACCCTCCCCTTTCTAAATGCTACTTTGAATGCAGGTTCCTTTCTGCATTTTTTTTTCTTTTTACCCCTTTCCCACCTCCCAAAAATAATGATTTTTTTTTTAATTATTTCATCAGGATGCCTTTCAAAATACCTGATTTTAACTATACAGAGTTTTCTAGAGGGTACCAGCAGTTTTAGGTAAGAATGCCACTAAAAAAAAAACAATTGACACTGCTGCTTCTACATAAAAATCTTGAACATTTCTTAATGACACGAACCAAAGCAAAGGCAAAAATTCTTTAGGTTTTAAAAATATAAATCCAAGGACACTACCAACTTCATTTACACTAGGAAATAACTTTAGTCTTGCATTATTATACAGGGGTTACCAGCTGGAAATGACACAAAACGCACAGGATAGATCTTTAAATTATTCATAATCACCTTAAACTGCACTCAATCAGCATTGCAATATGTCACCTTATAGACATGCAAAAGTTCAAAAGCAAACTTGAAAAAGCAAACTACCAAGAGCACTATTGTTAAAGCTATACCAGAAAGCTTAATATTTCAATACTGTGTATGTTAAAATAAACAACATACACAGGTGATGAAAGCCAGTCTCTGAAAAATTTATTATTCTGTTAGAAGAAGTTTACACTTAGGATGAATTCTCAAGCTTCATGCCATTAGGAAGTTTTACTGGGTTTATAGTGGAAATAAAAACAGAAATAAAAATAGATGACAATCCCAAAATACAGGCTGTACTTTGAATATGATCAACGGGCTTTCTTTTTCCTTTTACATCTACATATTTCCTCTTGCCTTAAAGCAATCACATTTTATTCAATCTTCATGAAAAGTTCCCCAAATTGCCTGTTTTCCTTTTCAAAATCAAAAGTTTTGAAAGATGAAGTAGATGAAGTTGTGTAACTTCTTTGGTATTATTTGCCCAAAGCCATCCTAATGCTACAGCTTTCGAAGATTTATGATGCCAACTTGATTCAAAGGATTCTACCCCACCCCCAGCCTCCACTTTCTATATATAATCACAGTTTGGCTTCCAAGCCAACTGATCATAACCTCACTTCCTCCTCCTATGCATGGCGTAAGTACTTATTCCATTGAAGTGAAAGGCACTGGTCATCAATTCTTTGGCTAAGATGGTCATAAAGGAGATATGGATGATTTTTAAAATGACTAATTTTAAAAGCAGTAAAGCTTTACTGTGTGCATTTGCACTTGACATTGCAAAACTGAACTCTTGAAACTGGACTGGTTTGTAAATCATACTACACAAAGCAACAGGAAGTACTAATTGCTCTAAGCTTTGAATTACAAAGTAGTAGCAAGAATTGTACATTGCCAGTTAGATTTGTTAACTACTAGAAATTCAATTTCACGTTCAATATGAACATCAGAAATTAGAGTGTATTTCATAATCTTAAAGAATGTAAAATAGTTCCCATTCTGCCTCTGACCACATTGTATTTTACAAAATTTGACACAGTGTTAATTTTTACACATTGGACAACGTAACATTTGGCATGTAATGCCCATGCATTACTCTTGCCCTCTCCACTTGGATGCTATTCCCCTCTGACTATTGTCTGGATGAATAGTTGATTTCAGTATGAAGTTATATGAGTTACTGCTTAACATAGTCAGTACCTCAATAAAATATGGAAGTATATGGTTTTAAACACATAAGAAGAAATTACAGCAAGAAATCACAGAATAGTTTGGGGTGAAAGGGACCTTTAAACATCATCTTGTCCAACCCACTGCAATGAGCAGGGAAATCCCCAACTATACCCAATCTTCAATGGATAATATTCTATATCTAGGTATGTAGCCAAGTTTTTTTTCTTTTTTTTTTTTCCTATGGGTTATTTAGTTTTTGGAGAAGAAAACAAAACCTAAGTATAGAAGTACCAAAATTGATTCAACATTCATCACTTCATACATTAGAAGCATATATTATTATCAAATACTTGACTTACAGTCATATTCCTATCCCAGATCTGGATGGAGCCATCTTGACAGCCAGCTGCGATAAGTTTGCCGTCTCTGCTGTATGTGCAACTTGTAGGAATCACCCGTTTACCTTGACTTGATCGTGGTTTAAATACAGTTTTGTGCTTTTTTTCATTGTTAATATCCCATGTCCTCACAGTTCTGGAAAAAAAGTTTAAATAAAGAGTTGTTTTAGATAAAGTTAATACATATTAAATAATTCTTCTTATGACATAATCAATTATCTTTTTAAGCATATGACATATTATTCAAATAAGTTGTAAAGCATTTACAGCATTTAAAATTTGGTATGGCAGTCATGAAACTAATGTGACAAAAAAATATTATTTACTAATAAGCATCAGTTCTTTCCGAACTGTCAGGCAAATACGTAAAATTATTTACAACTGGACAAATGACAGATTGGAAATCAACAAGAAAGTCCTTTACATGAACTAAGACTTCAGAAAACAGGCATGAATGGTTACAGAAATTAATTAACTAAACAGATTGTCATAATTGCTCTGGCATGACAAAAACTGACTGGCAGCACTACATACTGGCTGGTTCTTCAGATGTTATTTTAAAGAAATATTTTAAAAATTTAACTGCACTATTATTATAGCTCTGCTATAATATCCTGAAGGTCTTAGAGTTCTGTTGTAAGTGTTCTTCAAACACTACACAAAGACTCATTTATGTAATACTACCATTTTGAGTTTTTCCCACATTATTAGGAAAATAAATACATCCTTTATATTTTTGATGGAAAAAGAGTATCTGCCTGGATCGTCAATGTTTCTTAGACACACAAAAACAGAGAGAACTAAAACACTTAGATACAGGTGGACTCTTTAAACTGTCTTAGACACAAATGTTTTCTGTACATTTAATATGTTGAATTCTTTCGAGATAAAAATTCAAAACTTCTCTGGCATCTAATGCAGAGAAGAGTTTCAGGATTTGGCAAAGGAAGGAAGATCATTAATTTAGAAAGTCATTAAGTTCTCAAGACAACCTCACTTGTTTAGACTGTACAAACAGTGCCTATGATCCAACAGCACGTAACTCACTGGTCCCTAGAAAACCAAATACCATTTGGCTGCCCCTTCTCCAAAAGAAGACAAGACACCATGGTGTAACACTGGGAACTTCCACTGAAAATGTAAAGCTAGACAGGCTACAGAGTTGACATACATAATAGTTCTAGGGAGGGGAAAAAGACAAGAAAATAAGCTTATAAGGCTCATAGAAATTACATTTAATCAGATATTTAATGACAGTAATGAGAAATCAGACATACTGAAACAGATCTCTTCATTAAAAAAAAAAAATCTGATCTTCAAGATTTTTTTCACCTCTTTTTATGACAGCTTACCTACATGGGAATTAAATTAAGATGCTTAACTAATACAGGAAAAAATTACCCAAAGCAGAATATGTAACAACAGATAAATAAGAAACAGATGAAAAGTTCCTTTAAGATGCACTTCACATATATGGTGGTATAAGACTACATCAGCAAGAGAACTTTCACTAGTGTATTCTCTTTGCTCTCTTTCAGCAGAAGTTATAGTCATCACCTGTTGAGCACATGGGACCTAAAGAAGGCTGAATCACCTGCCAGATACTGAAGAAAAAAAAAATCTGTACATACAAACAGACGGAGAAATCCTGAGAAACTTCCCATACTTATTTGGCAAAAAACCTTCTAAATAAACTGCCACTCCAAGCATCTGAACAGAACTTAACTTATACCAGAATACAAGAAAAGTCACATCCAACATAAGTAAAATCATAACTATGGAAGGAGCTGCCAAATAAATTGACACAACTTCATACTTTTTAACAATTCTTCAGCTACTGTTACATAAATAATCCCTAAATGTAAAAACCAAATAGAAATATCTCATCAGAGTAAGAAACAAACAAAAATATCTTTTATGTGATATACAGCAAATGAATGATACAAAGCATCTATGAAAGTATATTTTTCCATATTCCCAAATAAAATTGGTAGCACTTTTTTGATAGGAGCAATTACAATCATTTAAATATTGAATTAAAACTACTAGGTTTTGGTGAAAAAATAAGATTAAATGCTACCAACAGTGAGTGGGAACTACTCCCATTTTTCCTGACTGAATTAATTAAAAAGCAACCAACTCCAAACTGAAACGGCATACAGGCATGCCTTAGAGAGCACAGATAATAGACACCCTGAATTACTACGCGAAAATCCTATTGCTGGCTAATATATGCAAGACTTGAGGAAAACTGAATCAGAAAAGGAGACAGAGAGGAACCAACTATGAATTAACTGGCCTAAGGAACCAGAACTCCTAATGGAGGCCACGAAGAAGAGCATAGATGGAAAGAGACCATAGAAACAGGAGAATAAAAGTAAGAAACAGAAACTATCAGTTATAATGTCATACCAGGTTTGGCACGATTGCTTTCACTTCAACTGTGCAGCATGTTCATGAGACGAAAGCGGCAGAAGCACCAGCATATACTACCAAATTAGGACATACGACCCATACAACTACTTCTGGCTGAGGAACTGGCCAACAGATGCATTTAGATACAAAAGGTTACTCATCAGTATGTCCATATAACCCCTTTCAGGTTATAATGAACACAGAGGTGTAAAGATATTACAATACCTGACAACAAAACGAGATCATGGCATAAAAAGTTTGTTTTAATTGAAACGGGAAGCTCACAAGCTTCCCAGAGTGAGCCATTTTTTTGTTTGTTTTTTTTTTTTTTTCTGTTTTGCTTTGTTGTTTTTTTTTTTCCAACATCAAACCACTGGTCAGGTTAGCAATAAAAAAGGCATTGTTCATAAGGGTTCTATTTCACAGAACTAAGCTAATAAAAATCTTATCAACTTAATATTGACACATGTAAAAAAATCATATAGTTATGATGGGTGTGATGGTTTCTTCCTTAAACAATTTTTGTCTCAGGTTTAACTCAAGACAACTACACTTAATTGTCTGTTTGACACAACTCCTACCGTAGGCCAATGTACAGGCAAAACCTGAACATGCTCACTGTGACAGAAGTCCTATAAGCCTTTCACCCTTAGTATTTCCTTAAATATTAAGGTATTTTCTATCTTATTTCCGTAAAACACTAACTTTATTTGATTGCATTAGTGATGAGCATTTGGGCAATTAGACTGCACTAAAAGGAAAAAAAAATTTACTAGTTTTGAATTACTTTCTCACCCGCACTGACAGCTAATCTGCTTTGTTTCTTGTTAATGAAGTCTTTACACAAAAATCTGACTGAACAAAGAAGTTGTTTTTATTTGCATGAAGCATTAGGTTGACAACCATGGAGATGTTTGCACCAAAGCGTATCATTTCTCCAGTTCAAATCAGCAAACCACTTAATCAAGTCTTCAGAAAACCGTCTATGGACTAGGTTAATGAATCATCCCTTTAAGATCTTTTCATCCAAAGAATAAAATATTCAGTGATTTTAATGAAGTATATCAAGCTCTGTAAAGAGTGAATATGCTTTTGAATTACTAATAGTTCAAAGTCTATGTTAATGCTATTAAAACCTGGTATCTTACTGATACTATGCAGCACCTTGCAAATAGTCCTTCATTTACTATTCCAGCAACATCTAACTTCAGTATTATTATTTCAATACAGAATATTAGATGTATTACAGATATTATGTGATTCACTTATGAAAGCTGTGACAGTAAGACGAGGTACAATTTTGTGTCATTTTCCAAATGGGGCAAGGCAGCCACAAAATCCGATCTCACCTCCCACTTAGTGAAGAGTGGGATGTAATCAATCTCCTTATGTGGTACATCTGACAAAGATCAAAGGGGAAGACTTCTAGTAAAGAACATCCTGACAGTTCAAGTTACTGTCACCTGCATGAGCTGAAATGACTCAAGAGCAGTCTTGCATGGTACTGCAAAAGCAGGAAGAATAAATAACTAGGAAAACAGGATGCTCTCTAAATAGGTGGTTAGTCATGGCTATAAAATAATTAAGGCTCATTTGGATCTCAGTTTCTTCTTCACTCCAGTAAACAACTTAGATTGGAAATAACACTCAGCAGAACTCTTCATTAAATCATTGGAAAATTAGCTGAAATTAAACTAAAGCAGTCAAGCAATTAAAAGCTCTCTGAAGTAACACCTCAGATCACCCTATATACATGACAATTAGCTTGAACTATTTTTGCTTCTGTGTTAGATCTCACAGCCACATTTCTGCTGTTGCATTAGCAACAAACAGAGGTGAATAACAAAAGAGAGCAAATTATAAGTCTTAAATGTATTTTGATCATTCAAGTTGCAGAATCTATTCTAAACAATGCAAAGTTTGACTCAGCTGTACAGATTAATGATGCACTGTGGGTTACAGAAGATTTCAAAACTAAGTTTTACTTTGTATTTATGTATGAAGTAACAATCTTTGTATACCGTAGTACAATCTCCATAAAAACTTATGAAAGACAGCCAAACTGCAGCACATAAAGTACATACAAATTAATGTATTAATAGTATCTTCTGGAATACACACCAAAGTGTAAGACACTTTCCTTCTACTCTCAAAAAACTCCAAAAAGAAGACACCATTTTGTTGCAGAGAAGAAATGTGGTTCTTAGTCTCAGATCTCCAAAGAGTCACGATATAGTCCTATTCTTTCTGGATAACACAGAGCATCATTTCTCGATGTACTTGTCACAATGGTCTGCTCATGTCATAATATTGCTGCTACTGAAGAAGCCTCTACATTTACTTATGTCTTTTGTGTAAGGTTAAAAGCCTAAAGCAAATGGTTAGTGGATTCTGAAGATGAAAATAAAAGGGCTTATGCTCCCTTGCCAGTTATGTTCTTCATATGGGGGAAACACTGTTTTGCTGGAGTTGAAAATGTGTAGATTAAAAAATAGTACAAGCAGGACATAAACAAATAAAAAATATTTTTACAATCTGTTTTTCTTTTAAATTGAAAGATCAGAGAATTGACTTGGCTCTTAGACCAAAAAATAAAAATATAGAAAAAGTATCTCTGGAGTTTGAACATGCTACTTTGTAGTACTCCAGCCTTCTGTTTACCTTACTTAAGCCCTGAAATTTCAGGCTGTTCAGAAACTCCCCTTTTAGTTTACTGCACAG